GTATTGAATCGTCAAGGCTATCGAAGTTGGCCTAATGTGGTGAACCAATTTATTCTTTTATTTTTTACCACAATCTTTATCACGTAAGCTTTAACTAAATAATGCTGAATGAGGCGATGCAATCCTACCTAAAAATCCTACCTAACGTGGTGTGTCGATCACCACGCTACAACGGTCATTGAGAGACCCCCCGGTTCTAGCCTTGGCCTTTCCCCAGACTAATGGAAGCGAACTTACCGCATCAAGAGTTACCAAAAGAATCCTTCAAATCTATTGATCTCAAGAGCTTCTTTTTGATTCCTTAARTTAAGAAAAAAGGTTTTTTCAGGATGTGAAGCAAGTTTTAATGGTTTCGCCTACTCAAATCGTGGCGTTACCCCAGTTGAAAGCACATGCAAACACTTTTTTTGTCACTTACTCGTGAAACGTAGCGACCAGACTAAGCCATCGTGAATTCTATTTRAGAAATGTCAAATAGGAATCTGATTTGATGACAAATATATTCTCTTTTAATGACCATTTGTTGTCAAATAAAGACTAAGCTAGTAAAAGCAAGAGATTTTGAAGTTGAGATTATGACGTCATAATTGATTAATGGCCAAGCTGAGAGAGTTCTAAAACGGCTKCATATCATATTTCAATCAGTTTGTCTTGCCCTCGGATAGTATTGACTGACTCCCATAACGGTGTCTACTCTGACTGACCTGCTAGGAAAACAAGGAATCAAGGAAAGTTTTGCTTGCTTTGATATTCAATGCCAGTAAGTTGGTTTTCTTTGCTCTTACACTAATACATAAAAATGCCCATTAGTTTATCGGTAATTTTCTAGTGGATTATGGTTTTAAAATTAACAAAATAACACTTTGATTTACTCTTCATTTCCCTGTCGACATATCACGACAGAGTTTGTTGTTTTTGGTACCTAAATTGCTTTTACCAGCAATCTTACTATCGAGCCGATATTGGATACKTTTCTCACCTTTTCCAGATGTCCATTTTTCGTTACAACCGACAGCAATCTTCAGGAGAAAATGACAGTAAAATTATTCTCGGCCATAATTAATTTGTTTTTACTACGTGCTTCTGAATTCTTATGAAGCAACCAAGAATTTGATGTGGTGTTTTGGTTCTTCATGGAGGCTGTGCCGGAAGACATAACACGGTCAATCTGACGACATACAAGCTCTCTGTATAGCTCAGAAAAGTCCTTTTCGTTCCAAAGTACAATCTTTCGTCACGAGCTGAAAGTTACTTAGAAAGTCAGTATATCGTTAAGATTTCACCTCTCGGTTTGATTGAAGTTCGAAATGACAATCGAAAGTATACATTAATAGTGTAATAAAAATGYCCAAATGATTAATGATTGAATCATTAACTGAATTTACTGCTTAATGTCAAACGTTTTTCATCGTGAAATTGTTTCTGTTTATCGCTGTTAAACACTGTCTTCTTAGACAACTAATGCAATTAACAAATGCCTRTGAAATAGACATACATCCTGTCAAAATTAAACAGAGTCAACTTTTGAAAGCATTTCGCGAWGGAACATGGATTGATCTTGGCTGAAACAGGGATCAACTTTGGTAATAGTGATTTCTCATTTGTCAAGTGATCGATCCTGTTTATGCGCTAAATAAATAATGACAGTGCAACTGATTGTAGACTTCTTCGCCCTCTCAAATCAAACACTTGTCGGCAGTCAGTGTTAGTTTAAGTTTATGGTAGCCATGGTACGTAAAAGTGAGTTTTATGAATGAAACAACGTTGTTTGCTATAGCACTATTGTTCAAAAAGGGTTATAACGCCTGTGTAAATGTTCTTTCGTTCTGTGAAAATACAATTACTCCACTATCATCAAGATGACTTGTAACGATTGTTATTGACCTGGCTCGACGCAGGTTGATACTTTACCCCGGGTAAAATCTTTTTCATTTACAGGCGGCGAAATTGATTTATTTGGACGGCATGTATATTTAGGACGCCATAATACCAAATAGACATCTATGACGCGGAAATAGAATCTACATCACGAACATGTATATATTGTATATAGTACAGTATTAGTATAGGAAACCAATGTGGATCCAATATATATATATATATATATAGTATTGTGGAACCAATGTGGAAAATATCATCTATTTGATTCTTGATACTTTGTCGTTCTCAAAGAGCCGGCATGCAAATTTCTATATTGTGCCAGAAAGTGACAGGGAATTCTAAAGGCGGTCCACAGAACGATGATTGAAAAACTAGAAAAAAGGGGAGAAAATCGGACACTTTTGCAATGCAACGACATTTGTAAAAACAAATTCTATAAATGCAAAACTCTGCCGACACCAAACTCAGATTATATTCTTTTTAATAGGAAACGTACCCCCTGGAAACCCCTTAATTTGTACAAATTCAAGATGGCGGATGTATTGTTAATAAGGCCTATTACATCTATAACTTCCAATTATTTCTATCATAATTTCGTGAACGGAACCATATAGAGAATTTTTTATTCAAGGAAGCGCCCATGGGCATTGTCGGAATCGATTGGTTTCGAGGGTAAAAGTAAAAATGTAACAATGGATATTGTCCATTTTGAAGAATAATGGAACCAAACTGACTCCCAACAAGACGTTTTCAAACAAAATAATACCAAATTGATACTATGATGACGCCAATAGTAGTTATAGCACGGAACAACATACAATCAGAGCATTCATGTTTTTCGCAGCTTTTTCCGCCGCCAATCACTCAAGGCACATTCAACTTTGCACATTCCTTCTCGCGGTCCTCCCTTTTCCATTATTTGCCAATCAAGCCATATTTTAAGATATCAGAAAACTACATAAACACTCCARCAAGGTGCCGAAAGGGCGAAGGCATGCAAAACAAAATCCCACGTTTTTTCCACTATTGAAAATGTGTACTTACTGTYATTTGAGACCGAAGGAAAGCAAGGGAGAATTTTTTCAAGGATTTCGAATTTGAAGTTTGTCGCGTAAATTTGTCGTAAAACGCCGTCAGTATCATCAAAGACACAAGAAGGTTTGGCGTATGTTTTGAATTAAAATTTATCAGATGAATTGTTTTCATAAAAGAGAATAGAAAAGGAAGCCCATTTTTTGCTTGAAGCAAAAATAACCGAGATTTGTTTTATTCAGATGATGACTGTTACTTAACGGCTTCTATTAATAGAATGATGTCCAAGAAGCTTTGTTTAAAAATTAGTTTCACAAGAAGTAACGGCTAAAAACAGTTCCCTACTAGAAAGGGTGAGCTGGTGGGCTTCTGTGCGAAGAGAAGTTTAATCGACAACAATTCACACGAAGGCATGCGCAAGTCGCCTTAAAGAGCACCATCAAATCAAACGGAAGTGTGTCATTACGTACTTTTCGTTTGTGTTTTTATATTGGATACAAATGTAAATATCCAAACATTCCGTCAATCAGACAAATTAGTACTTAAGAGCAAACATAGGCGCAAAATTGAATCAGACCATTTCARATTACACAGACGAGATAAGCATAAGGAAGGGAAAGTCAGGACTGAGAAAACAGTACTGTAAACGCGTTCATCAAACTACAAGCCAACCAACAATAACGTGATTGTCATCAAAAGTAGTAATCCTGTCTTTTCCAATGCAATTAAGATTTTAGACTTTTGGACTTCAGTAATTGGGTATTGTCCTARGTCTGTGATTCTGCAAATTGAAACTTCGGCTCTGGCGTTGTCTTGTCGTATTTCCGTAACTCCAGTGGCTCCAAATTGCCTTCTGCGATAACTCAGGTATTTATCTCATTAAAGAGTTTTTGTCTGGATTTTATCGCTAGCCATTAAGTTGCTGTATATATCAAATCAAAGCATATCTGCATCGACCATCTTGGTGAAGATTGTTCCCAGTTGGGTGACTTAGATAGATCTAGTCACGTGATTACTTAGCGCGCTTTGCTGGATTATTTGAGCATGTCACCGCCACTGACAACGCCATTAAAACTTTGCAAAAATTTGTCAACAGTGAATCATAAATCCGGATATGGCACTAGCTTTTGAAATGTTTTTTCGTGCACAATTGAAATAGTTTAATTCGCCTTTTAATCCGATGATGATTCAATGATAATGTTGCACAGTGACATCGGAGGGGAACATCAGTGGGTTTTTCGGATWTTTAGATCGGATTCTTGATATTTTTGATTTCTTAGATTGGATTTTTATATTTTCTGTTTTGGGACAATTTTTAGATCACTCAAACGTAAAATACGGGAATTTGAGAAACTGGTAGATTTAAACACGAAGTTCCTTGTAACTTTAGTCAATTTTTTTCTTTCTGCGAGATTTCGATACCCCTTGTTTACCTCTTGGCGAGTTTGACTTTTTTTAACTATACTTGGTATGACGTGGATATTTCCCGTAAAGTCAGTCGGAACGTGACCAATAGATAATTCGAGGGTCTTCAAAGAACTTAAGTTGATAAAATCTCATTCCCAACTAGTAATCCACAAAATACCATATGGTTTTTCTCTCACGTGCATCGATGATATCTCAATGATCTCTTGCTCAATAAGTACTTTGTTGCCGGTTTGAAMTGCTTATTTGTTATTTGTAGGGATCAGAATTTGCTGAGGCCAGTGTAATCACGTTTGAAAAATAAGTTCAAAAAATAGCTTATTTGCACAAGAGATTTTGAAGCAGAAAACACTTTATTCGTCCATTCATTTATTCATTAATCCGTTCATCCATATATATCAATTGGTTTACGTGGACACCATAGTGATGAAATCAATCCGTGAAATTGTAAGAATTATTTGAGGGCATTTTAATCACGTTTGGAAAATAAGTTCAAAAATATATTATTTGTGCAAGGTATTCTTAAACAGAAAACACTTTATTCATCTATTCATTATTCATTTGTGCGTCCATCCATGTATCAATTGGTTTACGTGGACACCACCGCGAACGAAACAATCCGTGAAATTGTGCAGAATCAAAATAGCATAAGTTAGCACTAAATCTGAAACTGAAGCTAAGGCTTCAATCAACGTTGTTCTTTATCAAAACACCATTTACTAAATCGTTCCAAATAGTAAAAAAGAGCTTTGTGCAATTTCACGGATTTAGTGCGTTCAATCTATTGCCGTTAATTCTGTTAGCGTGAAAACTGCTTCAGTAGTTATATTTGTACTCAGTACTTAATTTTATTAGCGTCTCACGCTTTCAATAACATTGTAGGTTCGGTGTATCAGACAATTGCACAGTGCATGTGGTTCAAGGGTTTAGAGTGATTTTCAATCGAAATTTAAAAAAGCGTCTATCAAGTTTGCGCTAGTTGACAAAGAACACAAAAGAAAACAAAGATTTTGAAGTGTAGTATAAACTTTGCCTTACTTTATTCTACCGTCGTTGACGAAGAAAAGCACTCTTCTCCTAAATCATGCTAAATGTACCAATATTCATGAATTCATTTCTTCAGTTATTTTCATTCTTACAATTTCTATTCATTATTATCATTTATAATCAATACTATATTTTTCAAAAAAATTCATTTGAAATTGAGTTTTCATTGTCTATCTGTTCTTGTTGATCCGATCATATCATATAATGTACTCCTATCAGATATTTCAACAGTGACTTTTCTATTTTTCYCCAACAATGATTTTGATCTATAGCTCTATTTTTCGTCTTGTTTGTTTTTTAACAGCATATCATATAATCACAGACAGTTTCGCCTTATTCCATATATTGCGATCAGTTAGAGTGCCGAATACCCGCTAAGTTCATTAATTATTCCCACAATAATGATTAAGGACTGCCATTTCTGTTTTTAATTTTATCTTTTACTTCGCCTTATAAGTCTTAAAAGGTCTATTTTTCGGTTTCAAAGGATAGTTAAAGCAAAATTTGATTATCACGAATGATAGAGTAATAGCTAACAGCCTCTTTTCGAACACAGGTCACGCCGTAAGATTACTACAAACCAATGAAGAGTTTGAAGTTAGGTACATATCAGAGAAAGTCATCTCTTTAATTTTGGACCTAAAGAACTAATCTCGCTTTTTTTACCAGATCAGCACAGACGGAAGTGTTTTAGTACAATTACATCAGTCAATGTTCCATATCAAAATATTCTAACAAATGCTTGACAGCAAGATGCGAACTTTTTCTCTTTTTCTATATTAACAAGAAATATGACTGCTCCACAGGATCCAATTGTCTCGTATAGACTATTTTTATAAAATTTTTAATATGGAGAGCCGTTAACAGACATCTGATTAAGGCTGAATAAGGGCTCCACATTTCTGACGTAGGCGAGACTAATCTCGATAAAGCTCTAAATGTTTGCACATGTTATATTCGGGAATATGAGCGCAATAGAATTCAAAGATACATGGAAACATTAGCAAAGAGCCACGAATGTTTTGAGTTTTGGTAAGTCTTTAGCGCGTAAGCATAAGTAGAACTTTCAAAGGCACTCCCATTGATGCTGTTTCTATTCTTAAATTAGTGACATTCTCATTCAAGTGTTTTAATAATAACAAAATCGCCAACAGCTCAAAATGTCTGGGTACTTTAATCCCATCGACTTGGCATTTGCGAAGTGGCTGAAGCATATGGCGTGCGCGGGCCTTGCACTTTRGTAGCAAGTAGACTACAATTACTTGGATTTAGTAARACACGATTCATTATTGTGGCTCGTGACGTGGACTGCCCACAATTAGCAGCTAACATCAGTCTTACACTACTTTAAACTTACAATTCATTGAACAACGTTGTTTCCTTTAGCTCTTTCTATACTTGCCCAATCAGTTTAAAAACACCATGATTTTTAATAAGGCTGTACCAATAAATAAGTATGACGATTCAATCGGTAAAGTTAGCTCCTCGGAACAAGACGCGGAACCCCTAGTAGCCTCTTCGAAGCCGTATGTTTCGGGTTTTCAGTGTTTTCCATTTCTGTTATGACGAAACTGATTAAGGCTAGCTAGTTTGTACAATCATTAACTACTGCTAGTGCTAGATTTTGATTTTTTGTCTTTCCAAAAGTAGTGTGCTACAAGCTCGTATATGAATACTCATTTAGCGCGGCAGAGGCAATAAACGACTACTGGAAGTCGATGATCCCAACAGAGTACACAGAAGAGACACAAAAGTTCCTTCACAAAATTCAGAATTACAGTGGTCGAACAATTGCTCTCGGTTAGAAAAAATCAGGACAGCTGTATGTTGCCAGGCCAATATTTTAACTAAATCTATAGACCAGTTAAAAACAACCGAATTGAAGCGAGTTCTTATCAATTAAATCATTTATCTTCTTCAACAACAAAAGTCTCTTTATATCAAAAACACTATCACACTAAGACTGAATAATAAAGTTTGAAAGATTTTTGAATATATTGGATATTTTTTATTTTTTAAAAAGCATGTACCAGATGAACAAATTCTCAGAGAAATTATTCCCACTCGTTTCTAAATTGAAAGTGAACAATGATTTAATTTGAGGGTTTTAACTGATTGTTGAGAAAGACTTATCATAAAGAAAGAGCATTCTTCAAAAAGACCGACAAAGACAAGGAAGCAATAAAGAAACATGAAATTTCATCTAATTTCAAAACCACACTGTTTTCAGAAACACTTCATATTGGCCGGTAATCATCTTGTCAGCGGTTTCCTGCAAGACTTGCGCGCGCGTGTTTTCCCGCCTTGTCAAAAAAAAGGTGGCCTGCATGAATTTTCTCCATTCATTTGTAAATACTAGTTCTTTCAGATGATTTTTTGATATCTTTTTTACAATGTACACAGGTTTTGGCTGAGGATTTACTACAAGTGTTTGGAACAAGACATCCTCACTGTCGTCGGCATCAAGTGATCAAAAGAGGCTGTTTTATAAATATACGGATATTTTTTCCGGTTATTCAGACCAAAGTTACATCGAACGATAAAAGAGAACAACTCCTTCGTTCATTGTCTTCATCACAGCGTGATTGCTATTCTAACTTGGCAAGGAGAAAGTTTAATTTCCTCCGTCATCCTTTAAAGCATGAACCAAAGCGTTTGTAAGTAAACTTGATCACCAGTTTAATACTGATTTATTTTGCTTCAGACCGCTATAAATGAATTAGTTGCCTCGGTAATATCGTGCGCGGGAAATAGCTGGGGGAATTTAGCTAGCCACACGGATGATTATGTAGCTAGTYAAGTTCTGGAGAATACCGGCCAAAAAAGCATTGCCAATTATAAATGAAGTGCACCAAAATGAAATGCTACAATGAAATGAAAGTGTCCATTCAGATTAGTGATACCGGGCGGYAAATTCAGTCTATGAATATATCATTAAGCTGTAAATATTAAAGACAAAATAACCTTATTCCTGACATATGTAAAGACTTAGCCAGTAATACAAGAACAGGAAAAGGGTAAGATCAAACAACAAATCAGAGTGTCGGGCATAGACCTTGGTCTAATCGCTGATAATTCCATGTAATATCCTATTTTCTTATCTTAAATGTAGAACACGTCATGTTGAGTTAGAGTTTTAGTAAACACGAAGACGAGCGGCAAGTTGTTGATGTTATAAACGGGGGTGGGTTGTCTAATGAAGACCAATTTATCCCCGTTGTTTGCTGGGAGGGGAATATAATTCGAGGGATGTTTCTTAGTGAGAGTTAAAGAGGATCAGCAGCGTAATGAATGACACTTTTTGGAATACGTTATTATTCATCAAATAAACGCTTTGTTTTCAGCACCGGTTGYCTCTTCACTTATTTCCTTTCTCCAACAATTAYATCCCTTTCTTTCTTTTTTTTAATTACTTATGAACCTTTTTCTTACATTTACTTAAAGTCCTTGACGAGCGCTTTTCAGTTTTTCTCATTCGATGTTCTAATGGCGTAGCTACCCTTTGGCAATTCGGYACTACAAAGCMRTTTTTACGGCCGCACATATTAAAGCGTCCAAAATATTGTAGTGAAATGTGGTTTTTGAATAGAACTCGAGGAGATTCTTATACAAAACACCATATTTCTAGTAAGTGAATCTGACTGTCTGTTCAGTCTAATTAATCAGCCGGCATTACGCGCTTGTGTGTAACACTTATCACAAGTAGAATAGTACAACAACTTTGTTGCCATTACCGAAAGAGAAAAGCAAATTGAAAATAAACTGAGAAAATTACTGCTTAGAAGGCTGTAACGGAGGCTTTTCGTCCCCGGCTCTTGTCATCGCGGTTAGCTCACAAATTAACAGATTGGTATTATAAAGAGCGGCAAACTACTGTTAAACCAGTGGGGTCTAAACTAGAGACTCTCGAACCGTCAAAAGGCATTGAAAACCATTCACACCATTTGAGAACTGATTTCAATTTTTTTTTTCCTCAACAAAATGTCATCACCACCACCATTTCATCTGTTTCACGAGTGCGCCAGAACACATAAGCCAAGACCTCCATTCTATCGATTACATACCTCCTCAACAAATAGTGTACAAAATTAATTTCATTTAGCTCGATATTCATATCTTGTCACAAACTTTGATAAGAACGACTTATGGGTGGCAAGTCAATTCAGCTTGTCAGTATTAGACTGTTCTTTCTTTTTTTTTATTCTTAAAAAAATAACCACGCTGTTACTAGGCATTCAAGGTGATAAGACTATCACTTGATAACTGAGGCAGAAAAAAGTCAATATGGTGTTCATTTTGATCAGTGGTAAATATGGTGTTGATTGTTATTCAATTCACAAAATTGTTTAAGGGCCATGGTCCACCATCATCTCTTTCGAGTTGTTGTTTATGATGTAAGATGAAAATATATCGTAATGAACTTACTCTTTGTTTTATCCTTTATGCTACTGACAGTAGCATCTGTTATGAATGAAGATTCAACATTAATAAAACCGACCGATGAAAATGGATAAAATATAAATACACTTATTCTTTATTACCCCTTATTTATATATTGATAGGGAATTGATATGTCGTTGTAAGATCAGTCGACCTTAAAAGCGACGGATGAAAATGGTGATTGCGAATGGATGTTTGAAGTCACCACATTTTCCATATGCATTTCTTTATTTACTGTTCCACATAGTTAAGTCTAGTATCACTTCCTCGATACTTGAAAATATGCATCAAGCTCATCCGCTGATTGATTATCATTGCAGACTCTAACACGACGGCCCTGTTGGTRCCCAGTACTTCATTCGAGTTCCCTAAGGTTGCCATGACTGCAGCATATTGTGTCATCATGTTTGTTGCCTTTTTTGGCAATGTTCTTGTTATTCACTTGGTTGCCACTCGTACCTACATGMAGACTACTTTTAACTTTCTGATCGTCAACATGGCAATCGCCGATCTTCTTGTCAGTTTGTTCATAATGCCACTACAGGTAAGATCCTCAAGTAATAGGCAAGAAAGCATGATCGGAGTTGTAGTCCTCGCACTTCTTCATGTCTGCTAAAACACCCCTCCTGACTCTGATTTTCCAAAATTGAAGCAGTTGTCCTGTTTCTATAAAGAAATCGGCTTTTAGGAGATTTTAAGAAGTTAGAGAGATTCGGCCAGGTCAACAATTCGTGCTTTCTTGTACAAAATGGCGTCGTTGCACCTTGCCATTGCTCCTTTTCCAGGCATAGTTTCCATGTGGTCCTTGTTGCTCGTGCGGCGGTACCACTCAAGGTTGATAAGCGGTCTACTAGTCTACTAAGTAATTACCTATCTTGCTTTATGTGACTTGTTTTACTCTTTTGGTAAAGACATTTTTACATTCACTTTATATTCTTTACAAGCTCAAAATTAAAGATATACGGCGGCAATTTAATCAGTTTGGGAATGTAAGTCGAGTTAAACTTTACTTGTAAACGATTTTTCAGATCACATTTTTATATGCTGGCCAGCAATGGATCGGTGGTGGGTTTGGAACTGTCTCCTGCAAGTGGGTGTACTTCTCTGGTTATCTTTCAATCGCAGCATCAATAATTGCATTAGTTTCCATCACATTGGACAGATACTTTGCCATTATCTATCCATTCAAACATTTACCGGTTATACGTAACACTAAGATTATTACGTTAATCATTTGGATTATTTCAGCCTTGTATATGTCTCCTTATTTGGTATTGTTTGACGTTGACAAATCAATGGGTAACCAATGGAACTGCCGTATGATTTGGACTGTTATATCAACATCCCAAGAGACGCAGTTCGAGTTTGCGCGTAGCTACTTTATGATCCAGCTCATAACACTTTATGTAATACCGCTGGTCATTATAGCATGCCTTTACATTAGGATTGGTGTTAAACTCTCGTCACGAAAGATTCCCGGTCACTCCACGGCTAACGTTGTWCGAAAAGCACAGAGGGCTAAGCGGAAGGTATTGCGCATGCTTATCATTGTAGTGGTTGTGTTCAGTCTGTGTTGGCTTCCAGCTCATCTAATACACTTAGCAAAGTTTTACGAGTCAGACTGGTTCAAAAACATTATAAGAAAAGCTCCACTTCTAGAGAGCATTGCCTTTTTTCTTTGTCACGCAAACAGCGCCATAAACCCATGTCTGTATGTCACGCTCAATGAAAAGTTTAAGCGGGAGTTTTTAAACTTGATGAGGCACTGTTTTCCATGTATCAAGCCAAAAGCTGAACATTTTCTTCTGACAACGGTGGCAAGCGAGGCATGAGACAAATTATGGAACGTTGATTTATCAAGAACTCATCAAGACTGGCTGATCTTCTCGATTTCTACTCTACCGCGCTTCAACCAGTTTACTCATGAACATCAATCAGTATGAATCCAGTCTTGATCCCAGGCCCTTTTGTTTATTTGTTCAGAGGTAGTTTGAGATCGATTCTTGGGCCTGTCCACTTGGCGATGATTTGTAAACGTAACCGATATCCTTATCAGTGACATTGATAGAATTATTTACAAACCAAGAGAAAATGAGGTTACAAACCGTTTACAAGTCGTTATCGAGTGGACACTACTTAGTCATTTGTAGATTAATCTAAGTGTTCCTGGGTACTTAACCATCGCCCACAGATATCCGGATACTTTTGAAAACAGAGGGTTTTTTTATTACAGCGTAAGCACGTAATCACCGCCCCGGCTCCCGCACGTAAACGTATATATGCTCACGTACCATGCAAAGCATGCACTCTGAGTCAGATGTTCGGCGTTTTTGATTTTGTGCACACAAATACAATGAGTCACTCCTTTCAAGAATCTTCGCTTTCAAGTGCGCTGTTTTTAAAAAACTCTCTTTCCGGTAACTATAACACTATCTACTTGCCGCTACGAAAGATAAAAGGAAGAAGAAGCCCTTTTAGTTCAAAAATATCCTGTGGTGTGGGTGGGGTTTTACTGTGTATTCAGCATACAAGCTAAACAAGGGTAATTGTATGTAAGGGCAGTCTCCTTGGCAGCCTACAAGCATGTAAGGGTTAGTCTCCTTGGCAGCCTAGGCTGCGATAGAGACTAATGTACGGTTATCATGAGGGAGATTTGCATTCACATCGGTTTGTTTTAAAATTATCAACAAAAACACTTCGAAAAGCGATCGATGTGCTCATGCACTAGAAAACAATCAAATATATACAAACACAAGTGCTTGCATGATTAGTCTTTGTTGACGCTTGGCGTTCGCAGTGAACTTGACCTAAAACTCGGCTCTGGTCGCTCTGGTATCATACCCGAGCAAACTGGGTACCGACACCCTTGAATAGCTGATAAGAATCAGTAGAAATCAGAAATCAAAAGTAGAATCAGTAGAATATCAGAAATCAAAAGGTGAAAAGTTAAAAAAATAGTAGTTATAGAATCACTAATGGAATACCGATTACTAATAGAGCTCTGAAGCTTTTACGTCATATGCCGTGCACGCATTGCATTGTAGGATATATGGGACAAAACACGGCGGATTTCTTTTGTTTTCTCTAGAAACTGATCCCACAATGCATTGTAAATCACGCAGGTGACGTAAAAGCTTCAGAAGTCTATTTTACGGTACAATTCCAAAGTGGTCGAACAAGGGGCTGCATTCAGTAACTTTGGCAGGGGCAACTCGTGGAAGCATTCACCAATGTGCATGTGTTTATTTCTAAAAGTACTATATGTAACATAATTACGATAATTTTAAAACCAGATATGTTTCGGCTTCCACTAGATAAAGTCAGTCTTCAGTTGTCAAAAGTTATTACAAGTGAATAGGAAGTTGTTACTGTATGGATAGACGGCATTCATAAAACTAATTCAGCAGGTGCATTTTACAATGGCAAGWACGATATTGCATATTGATTCGCGTAAAATGCTTTACAGTGAAGTCATTAATGATAACGATGTGAAGTGAAGTGATTCCGTTATTTTTACTTTGACATCAACTAAAAATAGCTTTATCAAAACCCGAAACATGTCTTGAAAAGTGTGTTTTCTGTATATTTTAACGTTATGCTATGAAGGTAGAACATTTACTATGTAATAATATAATACAAAATACAGCTTCAAACAATGAATAGTGGAACTATGGCTCCTACATTTGTTGATTGTATATTCAACATGAACGTTATGTTTATAAACGTTACCCGTAATTTACAAGTGTATATGTTATAAGTAAGTGCACTCTGTACTCAAAGACAAGTTCTTTGGCATAAGGGCATAAGGGGGCTTTCATTTATAAGCTCAGGGGGGAGGGGGAGGGGGGTCTGGCAAAATTTTATACAGCAGCCCCAGGGGGGATTTCTTAAGAATCAAAAGAGTGGTGGTCGTGTCAATAAGACATGGTCAAGGGTATGGGCCATTTGAAAAATTGTATGCAACTACTGAGGGGGGGAGGCATTTATTTTTTTCGAGAAAGTTTCAAAACCACCAAACAAAAAAGACCACCACCACCCTCCCGATTAAAAGAATGAGCGGTCCCTAATAACATGAATTGCACAGTATGACGTCATAAAAAAGAGCATATCGTTATGCGAGTATTTCAGGAGTGTGGACGTTCCCTCTTTTTCCATGAATTGGTAATTAGTGCGACAGAAAACCAGATCACAGCAATCAAATGATTAAAACATTTGATATCTGTGGTCTAGATTTCTGACGTCGTCCTTTTTTCGAAATTGGATCGACTTATATATACTCTAGTATTTGTATATAAGACTCACATGCTAATACATAGCTTAACTGCTTAGAGGGTCCACAATAGGTTTTGCGGGATGCGGGATAAGCCGTTTTTTGATGGCGGGATTCGGGATCTGGACAAAAATTTTCAGTGACGGGATGCGGGATCTTAAAATGCAAGCGGGATCGGGATTTTGCGTTTTTTTCGCGACGGGATCGGGATAACTCTAATAATTTGCTGCAGGATACGTGATTTCTGCGTCCTAAGTTTACCTATTAATTATTAGACTGCCTGTGCATTTTATTACGAGATATAACCTCTCTGACCTTTCTGTCCTTACTGGACGATTACTGGACAAAAGCGGACACGTCACGATAAAGGTATCTCATTATATGCATGTGTAATAGTAAGTTCATATCAGGTATCAAAGCAACTTTTAACTAGTTATAATCGATCATTCCCGGGGGGGGACTCCCTAATATCAAAGGGCGGGGGTCCTCGGCGTCCCTTTTAGGGTTTGAAATCAGTATTTTGGTCCCGCTTAGGGTGATCATGACAAGAATTCCTACCAACTGTGTTTTGTGGTCCCTTTTAGGGTATACGGCGACCCTAAGCAGTCATAAAATGGCAACGCCCTCATAACTCAATACGAGCCGACGGTGTTCGATGATTGTGTAAAAACACAAATAAAATCGGTAAACCAAAAAAAAATGACCTGTTATTGATTGGTCCCTTTTAGGGTTGAACTTTCAGCACTGCCACGCCCATCATCTCACAATARAGGTCCCTTTTAGRGKTCATTTTMACAATCTCCGCCGAGGACCCCCGCCCTTTGATATTAGGGAGTCCCCCCCCCGGGCGATCATTATTATCAGTCTTTTCAAGAACTTTCAACGACTCCTTGAGATCTCAATTCATAACCTTAGTTATAAGTTGTTTAGCCTTTATCAAGTAAAGCGACCAAAATGAACACCACAAACAACACGAAATGAAAGACTGTTTTGTTAAGTAATGCTGCAAAAATAAACACCACAAAGACGAAATGAAAAACTGTTTTATCATTTAAAGCGGACAAAATAAGTAGTTGCATAAAACATTTCGTACATGTACAGCCAAACAACGCAAGAGGACGGTTAGATGAAAAAGAAGAGGGAAAATAGAGTCAATAATATGGAAGGTATGCCATTGATGTTATATTAACTTAATTATTTATTAAGAGAAAATTGCGGGATCGGGATTGCGACCTTAAAACTGACGGGTTTGCGGGATTGAAACATTTTTTTGCGGGATTGCGGGATTGAAAACCCCCTATTGTGGGCTGCTTATAATATATCGGCTTACGTGTTTTTTCTCGTCAATATTTTAATATTGCTCAAGATCTATTGGCGATCAAGGCTCACTTTCAACCATGCCTAAAAAGTTTCAATGGCGATAGATACTTCAAAAGAAAAATAATGTTTTCATATGGACTACTCATTCTACTTATTGCATCAGCCGAATCTATTTCAGGAGTTCTCGGAATAGTTCGTTCGTTCTACGATCGAAGTCAAAGTCCGTCTTACCYGCGGTGATTGCAATTATACAGCATGAGTCAATGTTACTTACGGTACAACTTAGCAGCCGCAGTCTGGCAGCCGTACGAAACCAGCCATAAAATAAACGGCAGCCTACTTCTAATGGCAGGATTTCGAAGTACTATGAGTTTTGGTTTTATTCACCGGGCATAAGCGACGCTGCAAATACGAATACAGATTTCCGGACTRTAGTAAATCTTGACAAAGTGTTTCCCGAGCGTCGGTCTACGTGTCCAACGTTATAACTTCATAAAAGAATCATGTTATCAATTACAGCAGTGTTATCCGTAAAAAAATTAAACCGCGGTTTAAAGCATGATGGAAATGATGGAAAGAAGTGAATTTCTTACTTACTTGMATGGAGTGTGGCACAAAATTATCAGATTTTAACACTAAACTATTACTCAAATCAGAACAAGTCAAGGTTTACCAGTATTATTTAATTTACAGATGAATTTGTTAAGTTTGATTGTCAATATCTGAAAGATTTAGTGTGAAAGTTGACTTCATATCCTGTGTTGAACTTGCATGCACTGATGAAGTCCGGGGATGAAGTGCCAACTCTCTTGTGATAACTGCTCGTTTCTTGGGTTAATTCTGGTGAAAACTATGATTCATTCCAATTCTAGTCTTTAGAATGAGAAGTCATTCCGTGATCAATTAACAAAAGCAAAAAGATGGTAACCTGACTCTCACTCAAACTTCAGCTCACGCCTTTCGTGTGGCCAACGCAAAGCGGCTCACACACAACCGAAATGGATTGTATGCCGTTTTTTTTTTCTTTTCCATTTTTCACTATTAATTCATTTCCACTCAATTACTCTCAATCAGCAGGACGGACTAGTGATGGAACATAGCAAGATGCCGATTTGATATCCATGTATTATTATTATGTATTATTTTCGGTCCGGTATCCTAGTCATTCGCGCGCTGTGATTGCCTATAAAGTTAGCAAATTAAACTGAATAGCAACGCCAATAACATCTGCAACATTGAATAATTCAAGTTCTCTCTGAGTTAGTTTCATGAAGTTTTATTAAGTCCAACCTCACTGTCTATTAGWATAAACAAATGCAATAAAGTACTTCATAACTTCTTATGTTTATGTTGATAGTTACCATGAATCCAGAGCTTTTTGCAGTTCTTCTTTCTTACTGTTTCAAAAGCAAAAATACGAAAGATGCAACGGAACAACAATCACAAAAGAGAAAGCCTCTTGTTGACCTCTGCTCATTGCCGCCTATACATCAATGCCAGAAGTACGCCGAATATTTTTCGTTCTTGCATATGCTTCGTTTTTGTTTTTGGAATTATTATAATAATTCAGTGTAATAATGTTATTAGCTTCGGCTTTTTCACATGTTGTCCAGAGAGTCTGAATACATGCTCAATACTGAATGCATTTGACTATGACAGTAATTGGGTTGACGCTAGACTTGACCTGCTGTTTATTCTTTAAGCGAAGCTTCATGTATATTTAGTGGATTTGTTGTTTTAAAGGATCTTGCTCGCGTTAATCCATAGCAGTCACTTTTTATGCAAGGGAACCTGACCCCAAATTACGGCCACCGTGTAATAAAAAATACCTTGTTGGGGCGTGGCTCATGTCAGTAAGGTTGGTCTTTAATTTGACTTTTATTTTGCAGAGTATGTTTAAAATAATGCATCTGCAGCCCTATCGGTATACTATTCTCRCTTTTCTTTGATCGTTGAAGCTCACTTGGGTAAAACTGGGTGGGGTCAGTTATGGACAGCCGACGCCCATAAAACACCTTGGTTTCATCATCCATGAAAGTCTTGTCATTACCTTAGAAAAGATGGCTTCTAGCAGGTTAGGAAACGCCTTTAAAAACACTTATTTTCTAGTTGACCAGCGTTTTCTCATCAGAAATGTCATAAAGGGAATTTTTTCTCAAGTTTATTATGATTTATTTTTTAATTTTTTAATTTTTGGATTTTTGTTGTTTTTTTCTAGTAAGCCATTCGTATATTAACGTTTTTAAAAAGAGAAAATCACGTGCTTCAGAGAGTCACATGCACGTGTTTTCTATTTTTGTATGTCAACACAGAGTAGGTACAAAGGTCATTTCTTATTTTGCTGTTCCACATGGTTGAGGGTTTCTCCATGAAGTGTTCACATGTATGCTTCATGCTGATTGGCTAAACTTATGTGTATTGAATTCTCATTGGTCAAGCCCACACTTACGCCCCCTTTCCTGCATGATCATGGCTACTGATCTAAGTTCAACTTTCAAAACGACCATAACAAACCACGACTGTTGTGTAGCGTTTAGAGAATTCTTTGGAAGGTTATGGAAGTGCTGCCTCTGTCTCCACCTTCTACGCCTTCAAGTGACTCAAACGACATGGAAGTAAGAATTCATTGCGATAATTCTGTTTTGTCATGCTTATTTTACGAAAGTTCGTCTCTCCTTCAAAGCACCAACTCAAGCATGTTTCTTTGTTTATTTCGCAGGAAATTCAAAGTATCAGAGAAAACGTTTGTGAACAACMGGAAAACGATAATGATGTGGACCTTGATGCTGTTCAGTCTCTTCTTGCAATAAGTAGATGGTCTCCGCCAACTCCAGAGAGAAGTATAGCGAGTCCTGATTCAGGAAATTCATCGATAAGCAGAAATTCTTCGAGTGCATCACTGAGTAGTACGTGCAGTTCTACTTTTACTACAAATACAGAAGATTCATCCGCTTTAAGCGATTGTAACGACAAAGTAAGCTTTATCAATTTTAGTGTCGGTATTTATTGTTTTTGAGCGTTTAGTGTAAAGATTTCATTACGTAACAAAAATTGATTACTTTTGTAGGATGGCGATCGCACCGAAATACGTTACTCGGACCCTTCCACGGAATCGACAAATAACACGAAAGGYTCCTCTATGCCGACTGTTCTAGGATTCAATCCTGTTCTCCTACCAAATGGTGCTAATCTTCCCGCTGGAGCCATCATGATTATGTATCCCGTCAATGGCACAGATCAACGAGGGGTCGTTCTACCTCAACTCACCCAAAACAATTTATTAGCCGTAACTGCGGCACAAAATTTACAAAATCTACAAGACAGTGGAAAGAACCAGACTAGCAGACGTAGAAATCACGTCTGTACCTACGAGAACTGTGGAAAAACTTACTTCAAAAGTTCACATTTGAAAGCCCATCTCCGTACGCATACAGGTAAAGATATCGTGTTGACAGTGTACTTTGAACCCTTCGTTTGAAATGCTGAAAAAATGCGTTCTATTTTTTCTTTGGTTTTAAGAAATTTTAGGCAGACATTTTTTAATAAACATCCTTTATTTCCTTACTTTTTTTTCAATTTTTCCTGGAATATTGTTGTTGTGAATCAAAATGTTTCGGACTTCGTGCAAACCTTTTTCACTCCCTCGACACACACCCCCATTTTATTGTGACGTAATACCAAAACACAGTTACAAGTCACGGCACAACAATGGGAGCACGTGAACAGTGAGTGTTCAAGGTAGAAAAGCGCGGGATTTCGATCATCCCGTGATCACTTATTCATGCCATAGTGTGGACTTTGATATCACGCACAGATCTCTCTTCAAAATGAACTTGACATTTCTAAAATCTTCATAATTTTCATTTCCAAAAACATTTTTACTATTTTAGAAAGACATAAATTAAATAATAAATTAAAAAAAATATACTTTTTTTTCTGAAATTGAGCTTGAACTTTTGTCCTTATCTTTTTTTATTGGCATGTAGTTATTTTTTTTTAGGGTATTTTTTGCCAAAGAAAAAAATATTAATAGTGTATATAGAAAGGAAGAATACCTATTGATCTCTAATTTTGTTTTTTTTGTTGTTTTTTTTTCTACATAAATGTTTACATGTATTTATTTTCAATGTGATTTTGCTTTATTTTTTTAGGTGAAAAACCRTTTCCTTGTACATGGGAAGGTTGCGACAGACGTTTTGCAAGGTCAGATGAGTTGGCACGCCACAAGAGAACCCACACTGGAGAAAAACGWTTTGAATGTACCCTTTGTGGTCGGAAGTTTATGAGATCAGATCACCTCACAAAACATGCAAGAAGACACATGACAGCAAAAAAGGTCCCAGGTTGGCAACTAGAAATGAGCAAACTTAATCAAATTGCTGCTATGCAGTCTTCAGGTCTGACCTCCCTGCCAGTTGTGTCGGCCAATGGTATCCAACAGAACATTCCATCAATGGCGGTGCCTTTGAGCTCTTTTGGAAGAATACCAAATATGGTATCAACAACAAGTCCTGGGTCTTAGTATACAGAGGAGTGAGTTGTGAAATCAACTGATCAAACAACAGCTCCAGGGTACTGGTAGTGGAGTTATTCATCATTATGCTCTTACTGAAATCCAGACTGGTTGAAGATCTTAAAGCGACCATAACCAAAGATGAAATCAGAACCAGAAACCCTTGAATATAATATTGGTTTGTTTTATCAAGCTACAAAAACATTTGCCAAAAGATATACAATATATTAAATATTGACAATCTGAAATTGAGCCTTGTCATAATTCAAAGGCTTTGTCTGTTAATTAGGATATAATAATGATTATCTGACTTCAGATTAGTTATAGCCTTGTCTGGCTTAAAATCACAGCAAGAATTATTAGCGTAATTTGCTCCATTTTGYCCTCATTCTCTTTTGTAATATATGCCTTGAATGAAAATAGCCTTACAACTGCAGTATCTTTCTGTCWTGCATTAAACAATCTAAGGTTCTTTAAGCTGAACCCTCAGCTTGTTTCAAGAMATAGACAATCTCACTTTTATGCAGCACTTTTGCTGTCAAAACTAACCAATCAAAGGTCATCAAAGATAACTGATCATTTTCGTCCAAGCTGTGATTAGTTTTATTTCACACATAAAGAGAGACTCTGGAACTTAGATAATAGGATATTGATCCACAGATGACAAATAAAAATCAATAATAAATGCATGATTAATCTTTATACCTACGCCATTAATATRAATGCTTGTATTTCATCTAAATTGTAAATACAATTATTATTRCCCATAATGTGATTAATGTAGATATTACCAAAAATAGATAGATAATGTGGATAATATTAATTTATTATGCAAGTATAGGTCAGACCACCTTAGTTCTATCCTTATATATTTATTTTATATATTTTGTACAGTATGTTATATATATATGTGAAGCATCAGTTTTTTGAATAAATGCTTTGGAAATTAATTTGTTTTTTGATGGATCTAGTGATTGAAGTGTTTTTCTCACTAATGTTATAACTTCCTTGACAATTGTGACTGTGATGCACAGCTATTTTTCAAAAGGAACTGTATTCATTCAAGCTGCGCTTTCAAAGAGTTGCTTGGACCTTACAAAATTTCCCTACATTGTCACATTATCCAGATGCAACGACGGCTTATAATCCAAAGCCATCAAAATGCACCTGTTTTCTGTAGTTTGGGGAAAAATTCAATCTGATATAGATTCAGCCGAAACAACAATAGGACTTGTATTGATCAATCTATTGAAAAGCGATAAAAAGCAGGGACTGTAGAGGATATTGTTTGGGGGGCTGAATTCCATTTTATTGAATTTCCATTGTCACAAGTGAGAGCAAATAAAAAAAAATGGAATAAAGTATTGGGATCGGGAGCTACTACATCAGTCCCTGATCAGTATAATTGCAGCCCATCTTGAAACTGAAGTAATTGAGACCATGCCTTCAGCCTTCCAAGTGATCAGCAGTGTGCTAGACTATGTTAAATGTTGCTAGGGGAGCTTTTTTAAAGTGCACATGACACCTTTTAGAAAATCATTTTTATCCGAAAGGTAACATGCTACAATAAAAGCACTTTTGTGAAGAAAGAAATAGAATTTGAATTGTATTTTCTGAGTTATAGACATTTGAAAACTGAAAATGCAAGTGAAGTGACACCTCAACTAATTTAAAGGTTGTTTGTGTTATATTAATTGTTCTTGGCTGTAGAGCGCAAATCATCAATCATGTAATAATTTGCATGAGAGCTGAAAATGCTTTTTGCAATGCCACAAAAACATAACGTCCTTGCTCTTTCACTGTATAAATTTTGTCATTGATTTGCATTTTCTAAGTTTCAATAGCCTGCGTAGATAGGAGTTCCTAGCCGCTCCAACTCCAGCTCAAACTCTGGAGCGGCTAGGAATTCCTGGCTTCAATTGCCCATAACTTTTAGAAAATACAATTTAAGATCAAATCCTTTCTTCCGATGTACTTGAACAGCATTTTCTCTTTTGGATGAGAATGAATTTCTAATGGTGCATGTCATGTGCACTTTAATTACAGTTTGGTCATTGAAGGCCTGATACTTAGGYTACAATCTTTTAAGAGAAAGTATGTGTCTGATGTATGGTAGATGATTTTAACATTAGATTTAAGAAAGTTTGAGAAAAGCACAACAASAATGGCCATGTGCGCCCCTCACTGCTAGGTTACTGCTTTTAAGGGAAAATATGTATGCTAGATACTTTTATCATTATTTTAGAAAATTCAAGAAAGAAGCACAAGAATGGCCATGTGCAATATGAATTGATTTTATATAGATTTTATAAAACTTCTCCACACTGCACGAAATAAATGATAGCAAAAAGATGAGTCTCCTGTGTTTCTTCTTATTTCGTCACTAAGTGCAATAACATTAATCACGTGGTTAATTGGACCAATCAGTGTACAGTTGTGGGCGCCTTGTGGGACGTTGTCGATCTCTCCAACATCTAGGCGGACATATTGCGTGTTCTGGGTTAYGAAGGAGACGGACGTCTTCTTATTTTAAACCCTTATTTTTCACTTATTTCGTCAACATTTCTCGTTTCAAGGTTATCGCGTGCTGCTTCTCTTCAAGGGTGGTACAGGTTAGTGAATTTCGKTTGGATTTCTAGCTAAAAATGAAGATGATTTCAAGACCACGTTGCTTTGTCGTTGAGTCTGCTTTTGTCCTTCCTGTCGATAAAGTTTTAACTCTGGTTTCAATTCAGTGGAAATCACTWTTCTGAATTATTATGATKTGTCTATTACAGACCCACTCCTCTCTAAAATTCACCAAGTATCCTGACGTAGACCAACTTCTTAAAAGAAAGAAGTTCGAATTTGACTTCAACGTCGACACAGAACCAAGCTGACATTTTGCTAAGGGAGAATAAAACAGGATTGATATTTGGTAAGTTCAAAAGTCTATGTAATGTCGAGCCAAAGAGCAGAAACATCGGTGATATGTAAGCTACATTGCAGTCGTGTTTAAACTTTATGCAAGTATCGTAGATACTTGTAGATTCGTAAAAAATAGTACAGTCAAGCTCTACATGTGGTGCATTTCATTAAATTTACATAAAATCTTTTCTGGCATAGTCTGCTAAAAATAAGACAGAATTTTTTTTTGACAGAATTTTTATTAAATCCATTTTTTTAATTCAAAACTAGAATTCTTGTCATCGCAAATGTACAATTCCGTTACGTAAATTGACTTAAGCTTATTTTGTATTTTGAATTTCGTACATCGTATTTTATTGAATTCTCAGATCGTGAATTTGATTAATATTCATCAAATATTATTCATTCCCATTCCATTTGACATTCATGGACCGTTATAATGTATCACACTTACTGAAGTTTAAGCTGAGGCAGCAAAAAAAAAGGAACAGCGACAGCAGAAAACAAGAAAATAATCAAAAAAAAAAAAAATTACTCTGAATTGTTATGAAACACTGATGCTAGTGTTTGACATTATAGGAACAGGGTCCATGCAGGTCCTTAAATCCTTGAAAAGTGCTTGAATTAAAAACTCGTTTCCAAGGGCACTTGAAATTCCTTGAAAATTTCGAAAAATTCCTTGAAAATTCCTTGAAATTTAGATTAAAAAAAATATGATAGGTCTCTATCACAAAGTGCTATAGCAATCTCTGAATTGTTCCGTTTTAGCAGTTTTAGCATGATTATGACAGTTCCTTGAAAATACAATTTTGGTCCTTGAAAAGTCTTGATACTCTGCATGGACCCTGYAGGAGTATGAAATATAATAATATGATTTTTTTTTATTCAGCCCCTCTGCCCTAATTGAAGATGAAGCAGAATACGACTGGAATGGACAATGCTATTGAAATTGTGGAAGATGATATTTCTTACAAGAAAATTATTCAAGAGAAGCTTAATTCTCTTGAACGTGAGGTGAGGATATTATATGCTCATGTATAGCACWGATGCAACCCAAAGTCTATTATGGTAATATTGTTATTGATGGTATTGGCCATCACTTATTTACATTTTGGTTCATTAGCTTATCATTAGCATAAGCATTTAACATTTTAACTTAATTATCAGTAAATCAGCACTGAATATTTCATCAACATGGCACAAGTGGTTTTAAAAACTCCAATTTTAGAGATTATTCAAGCTATTAATTACCACTTTTGACACTCAGCATCTTTGCATCTTGACAAGTTTTAGTTGGAAGTTTTTTCTGGTCAAAGCATGTGTTTAATTTCATGTGATAAATTAATAGACAYTTTACATGCTCTATTGAATTTGACTCAACATGGGCATAGTGAATTTTGTACAATTAATCAAAGACTGCAACTAATATGCTTAGCATGTTTTCACTGTATTCCAGATTAATAGTCACAACAAAAAATAAGACAAATGACACAATGTCTAGTGAAGCTAAACTTTGACCGATTGTATCTTTTAGCTTTGTTAGTCAGTCCTTTAAAAAAAGATACATAATTCATTTAGAAATGTTTTACCAACTGAGAGGCGAATGAACAAAACTGGTAAAATGACTCAATTACATTGGGTAAAGGACAAAGTACTTAAAAGAACAACAATGGTGGTTATACATTATAATGTTTTGTTGTATTTTAGGATTGTGATGATGCCTTCTACATTGTAGACTTGGCTGATGTGATCCTTAAACACAAAAAGGTATGAAAATTAGTCCTAAACGAGGACTAGAGACTTATATTGAGTACACTTTATGCCTCAAACTATGACTGCTTCACTTCCAAAAGCTCTAAACACTATGTAAAGGACATAATAAGAGAAAAAGTCTAATAAATATTAAAAAAACATGAAAATTCGAAATGCATAGTATGCTGTATTTGTTGCTCTGAACAGAAATCTTTTTTGTCTGGTACTCCAAACATAAAATATCAAAATAAGTAGTTTCTTGATGTAAATAATGCTGATCTTTGTTTTCAGTGGGTTCAACTGCTTCCAAGAGTTGAGCCTTTTTATGGTGAGTTCATTGTTTCTATGTAATTATTATATTTTTGTGATGTTTCAACATGATATTGATATGTTTGATTAATTTGTTTTGTGTGTTTGTTTCAGCTATGAAATGCAATGATGATCCAATTATTCTCAAATTACTGGTTGGTCTTGGTTTGGGATTTGACTGTGCAAGCAAGAGTGAAATTCAGACTATTTTGGGTCTTGGAGTCTCGCCATCCAAAATAGTTTATGCTAATCCTTGCAAGCAGGCATCACACTTCAGGTACATAATTGTTTTTATTTAGTGTAGAGCTTTAGATCAGAGAGGGACTAAAGTCTTGACACATCAAAACAACACAAAACTTAATTTTAAGATTTTGCACGTGTATAATTTAGACATAATGGTATTGGTCTCAATATGGTATTTGATTTGTGTCTGATGATGATGATAACAATGATGATGATGATCACAGTTATGATAAGGATTATCATTGCTGAGCAATAAGTTGTTGTTATGGCCTTTCTCTGATCTAAATCTCAATGCATCYAAGGCAATGATGAATGGTAACTTGCCCTCTATTAACACTGTATTGATTAGATCTGTTTACCAAAACAAACTGAGCCTTGTGTAGAAACCATAATGTGTTGAATTATTTATTGATATCATTGAAMTGAATGTATATGGACTTTGACATTATTTTAGGTTTGCTGCTCAGCATAATGTTTCTTTAACAACCTTTGACAATGAAATGGAACTGCACAAGGCAAAAAAGCTGTATCCAACAGCAAAGTAAGTAAACAATGTGAATATAGACAATACAGGTCTGCAGACGTTTTGTTTTTCAACCTTGAAAATGTTTCTCAAGCTATTCTGACTAAATTTGCTCGTTATATTTCAGGTTGATCTTGCGTATCCGAACTGATGATTCCAAATCCCTGTGTCAGGTATGATAGTATTTGATAAAAGATCTCCGCATGTCATTTACCATTTTCAAGCCAGACAAATTTAAAGTAGACATTGCCATGTGTATTGCTAGTTTTTGGGCKTCCTTTGTCAAAATAACTTAAATTTAGTTATATAATTTTAGTCTCATCAGAATTTTTGCATTATCAAAAGCCTAGCCTAGTTAAGAATACCTGCAGTATTGTATGAAGTTCAAAGTAATTACAATATAATCTTTGTTTTTGTACAATTAACCGATGTGGTAAAAATGTTTTGTTGGGCTAATATTATTTGCATTGATTTTAGCTGGGGATAAAGTATGGTGCCCCTTTGAAGCAATGTCGACACCTTTTGAAGGTTGCACAGGATCTTGGACTGAATGTYGTTGGAGTAAGGTGAGAAYTTATTCCAAGAGCTTGGCAATTACAAGTCAAGCATRCAWAGAATGTAGTTCAAAAATTAAAAMTGTTCTGAGAGATCTTTTCAGTTTACCAGAAGACAATATATTGCATACATGGAATATCCTATATCTTAAATTTAGCTTTGGCAGTGATGAATGGTAACTTGCCCTCTATTAACRCTGTTATGATTAGAGCTGTTTACCAAATTAGACTGAGCCATCCTCCACTACAGATTAGTGTTCATACTACATATAAAACATTTTGCTCATGCATTTATTCCTTTTTTCAGCTTTCATGTTGGTAGTGGATGCTATGATGCAAGTGCTTATGCCACAGCAGTTCTTTCAGCTCGTAGTGTCTTTGACTTTGCTGTAAGTATAAACAGCRGTGTTARATACCAAAACTASTGGTGCAAAGATATTAAARCAKGAAACAGCAGTTTTGTTGTATRAGTGATAGAGCTGATTGGTTTTGTACTTGAGTTTCAAGTGATTATTGTTTACTTTCACTGAAATCTCATTASAATTGTACAACTGAGAATTCTCTMTGTTTTAGGGCCAGTTTGGATTTGACTTCAAATTGCTGGACATTGGCGGTGGCTTTCCTGGTAGTCCAGATTCAGCCATTTCCTTTGAAGATGTAAGTTCCACAAATATCTGTRATTCAATTCATTCAAGGTTGCGAGTTCCCTAATAATTTGATGTTTCTGTTAGGTCTGCAACACTTTGAACCCTTTATTTGARGAACATTTCCCTGCCAGCTCTGGAGTTCGTATTATTGGTGAACCAGGACGTTTCTACAGTGCGTCWGCTCTTACTCTTGCTGTCAATGTCTTTGCAAAGAGATTGGTTCCTTTCAACCAACTCCAAAGTGTAGACAAAGACAAGCTTGAGTCTCTTGGCTGTCCCAAGGAAGAACAAATGGTAGGAACATATATTTGTATTTTTTGGTTTATTTACATCCACACTATCTTGTTTTTCTTTGCTTTTTGTGTATAAATTTAATTGGGTTACCCATTGTTGCGTATCTTACCAACCAAAACATTCTAATACGTATTTCAAGAAAGGATGTCTGAAAAAAAGGTGAATGACAGTAGTTGCCCAAATGAAAGGAGCCACTGAATTAACAACTGATTTATACTGTGAAAGATAGTCTGTGGTAGTCATTGACTCTATTTAGTCTCCATTTCAATAAGCAAGGTTAATCCAGCAAGTGAAATTTTGTAAGTTAAACAGGGCAAACATAGTACAAATAAATGTATACTGTTGGTCAAAGAATTTCTGTCTCTAAAAACTAAATTGAACAATTAAATTTACTCCCAGGTTGTTTGGTTGAGCAGAAACATATACATTATAGCAAAGGGTGTTAGCCAATTGTCCTCAATTTTCTAGAGAACATAGAGCAAAAAATGGCATTCAAGCTAACCCTTGTGTGGATCTATGATATAACATTTCACATATTGACTGATTSCAGGGCTACATGTACTACATCAATGATGGTGTGTATGGTTCATTCAACTGCTTGGTGTTTGACCATGCTACAGTAGTACCAGAAACCTTGGAAGASAGCAATGGAGATGTACTGTACCCATCAAGCATCTGGGGACCAACATGTGACTCCATGGATTGTATCACTAAAAATGCAACTCTTCCYAAGGTAAGTGGACTAACACATGGAATTGGATTCAGTTGCGTGTTGTCAATGCTTTTATCGATGAGCTTCTAATGTTTGTTTGCTGTTCTGGTATTTTTGTATTTTTGTATGGTTGTTGTTGTTTTTTGTTGTCAACGCTGTTTTTTCTGTTGTAGCTGCTGCTGTTGTCGTTTTCATTTTTCAAATCTTGTCAAATATTTYATTGTTGTAAAATRTTGTATTATTTCTGTCAATGGGTTTGTAGCATCGCATTATTTTCAAAAACAACTCACGTTTGCTTTTTTCTTCATGTCATTGACCTGTTTGCATTGGTCGAATACATGTATAAAATGTTTTGTGTTTAACAGGTTGAGGTTGGTGACTGGTTGTTCTTTAGGAACATGGGGGCCTATACAGCTTCAGCTGCCTCTACCTTTAACGGTTTTAAYAAACCATACAAGTACTACATTATCAGCCAACATTACAGGTAAGACTTGACGAAACTCCCCTCRTCTTTGTTGCCAAAATAAAATATCAGAAATTATAATACAATATATCAGAAAACACTATATCAGAAAATTTTGGGTTTCCTTCAGAACCTTTTTTCTCACAGTTTTGATGTTTGTTTTCAGGAGTGTTTTGAAGCAGGTTTTGGAGCAATTCGCGTCCAACAATATAAAGTGTAACCAAAAGAGCTTGGAGGAATTYAGTGCTTTGTCAGTATGCCAAGACYCTGTTTGCCCTGCCATGGTTTAAATACCAAACAAGATTATCCATTGTGATTTAAGAAAAATTGCATCATCATGTTATARATACACTATATTTACAAGTTTTTTATTATTCGAGTGCACAAAATTAACATAATTGCAGAGTTATAATTTTTGATGACGAAATTATGCAGGCTGGAATTTCACGCATTTTATTTGCATGTCATTGATAAAGTAGGTTTGTAATTCTTGAAGGGAATGCTTTTGTTTTGTAGGGGGAACATGTTGATGAAAATAAGTTATTAAATTGGACATGATGTACTCAAASTGTRGCTGTGTCATTTYCTTGCGATGGTTCGAATCCGCATCCAGTGRACTATATTTATGTATTGCGCGGACAGATAACAATTTCGTCCCTGCAAACCTTAAAAGCACTGAGCTTCTCAAATAACAGCTCTCAAGAAAATGGAAAACAACTCTTGTGTGAGGAAAGTTAAATATTGTTATATCAATTGCGCTCATCCTGTAATTCAGTGTTTTTCTCTTGTATTGCACTGCGATAGGATTGTAATTAAACATATTATTAATTATTATTAAAAAGTAGCTTTAGTTAGAGTGACTTGCACGTAGTGCCTAAGTGAAGTGAAAGTGTTCATTGGATTT